ATTCGCAGGGCGCAGGCTGCAGGCGCGGGCGAGGTCCCTGCGTCCGACGCTGCGGGCGGGGTGCCGCGCTCTGCCCCTGGTCGGGGCGCTTACACGGGACGGTCGCACCTCGTGCCGATGGGCCGCAGCTCGTCTGACGTGTAACGGTGACGGGACCATAGTACGGCCTGCTCACATTGTCACTCTGCAGCCTGGAGATGCGCTCGGTCTGCCGACGCCGTCACCAGTGCCGCAGGTCACAGTCAGGTCGCACCAGTCAGGCCCGACGGCTGTGGACGCTTTCGTGGCTCTCCCGCCCTGCCGGCGGTCAGGGTTAGGGACGGTTGCGGCCGCCCGGGTCGGACCCGCTCCCGCCTGCCACGGTCAGCGATTGTTAGCGACTCCTTCAGAAATGTCCTGAACTCGTTACGTGATGATACTCGACATATGTCTGCTCTCAGCGCACAGTAACGATAGCTCTACACACATGGTATGTATCTGTTGGTGCACACATGTAGTTTCACATTATAAATCGTTCTTTAAACCCAAGAATCACCTCATCCCAAAGGATTGCAGCTTGCTGTTGTATTCAGCTCGTAAAGACACATTGTGTACGAAAGGGCTTGTACGGGCTTTCTGTCTCTGAACCGGAGTTTTCTCGACATTTGTAACAGTTAAGCAGTCGTTTTGAGGCACGCCCAAGCGGCCTATCGGTGTCGCCCACGACCCATGTACAGATGATGCAACGGGAGTAATCTGGGTCTGGGTCTACGGTGGTGCACGATGATTCAACGTGACGAAATCTGTGGAGTTGAAGCCACTTATGGAGGTGAATTAAATCATCACAATAGATTTTAATTGATATTGTAAATTTTCATCGATGGTGATTTCAGTGTGAGCAGTACTTATCAGTGTGGCTCGGACAGTTTCCGGTGCATGACTGACATGTTTGCAATGCTATGACAACAGCCAAATGGCCCCGTGGGGCCACCTGGTATTGACTCCCCACACATGGCATGGCTGACACGTTGTAACAAGGCTTACCGTGTTGGCTAGGAATGGGCATTGATCAGTCTATGATGGACGCGGCAGACATCGGACGTCACACCAAAGCGGTGCGTGTAGCCGCTTGGAGCAAACTGCAGCATCTCTCCTGTGCGAGTAGTTCCCAGACATAGAGGCATGTTTGTGTTGATGTCTGGCCGTGTTTGTCCGTTTGACAGCGGACGACATGAATTGACAAATTTGGACGGGATCTCCGGGTGACAGGACGAGCCAGGCTTGGCATGTTTGCCGGGAGTGCCAGCAGACCCAGTGATCCCGCCTTCGGCGCGCGGCACCAGTTGACCGCCACCCGCCTCAGGAAGCGGGCGTTCATGTGGGTCAACCCCACAGTGCCGATAAACCCCCGGTGTGTTCCGCATGATCCCAACACCGCTTCGACTGTTCACTGATTTCAACTTCGCTGCTCTGAGCAGTCTCATCCCGATGAGGTGCGGCTGTGCATCGGCACCGCACCGTCTCATTGATTCGTCAGTGGCCCGGCACCGTGCTGTCTCAGCGACTCGTCACAGCCCTGCCGTGGGCCCGGCCGGCCGGGGTCCGGGCTGGCCCGTCCCCCGGTGTCAGCTGACATCTTCGCGCCGTGCCTGGCTGTGTCACCGCCGGCGTCCTGAAACGCTGACACGCGCCAGACGCCGCCATAAACAAACTGCCGCACCGTGCTCTCCGGTGCGGTCCGTACCAAACAGGCCAGCCACCACCGTGTTTGGCACTGCGACGGCGCAGGCTGAACGAGACGAAAAATCCAGTCTATAAACAAAAAATATCCCCTGGCTGTGGCTTCCCAGGGCTGTGTCGCCGCATTACTGGACAGTCAGGACAGCTGGAAATGTGTAAGAAGTGTTTACTGTCAGGCCTTTTTCGCAGAATGCTCGCTGTTATGCTGCGGTGACGAAAGTGGCGTTGAACATTTTGTTGCATCTGATTGCTGGCGAAAACCGCGAACAAAGACAGTATGAAATAAAGTCGCGATCCTGGAGGGAGTATGTCGGCGATAAAACTATGACCTGGGAAGGTAGGCAGAAGTTAAGATATACCAACAATCTGAATGGGTGTACATGGTTTGGCTCAGGAGTACCTCCAAGCATATAAACGTCTCAGGTTAAAACATGCAAACAAAATTAGATAAAAAGCCACCCATTCGATTCGATATATTTGTCCAATTAGGTCTGACTCAAATTAAACGGACATTTTGTTGACTGAGACAAAGTTATTGATAGATTACCGTGCTTGGCGTTAGTTGATGTTCGGGCGTTTAAGTTGCACGGACACTAAGGACGAAGGAAACCGAGAACCACAATCTGTCCAAGGCTGAAAACGGGTTAGCGCCACTAGGACACAGCGGAGCTATCCACCACCACTTCTTTGACCGTTACAAGTGTGCGTTTGTGCCACGCGCGCGCGAGCTCTCTGGGTGCTGGCACCGGACTCCGATCTTAGAGCGGGCCCGTCCATCCGAGGCATCGCGGTTTTGCGTGTATGCAGAATGTCATGGCCAAGCATGGATACGGAGCGTGATGTGAAGCGGCTGTCGCTATCAGCAGCCGCTTTGGTGCGTGCTGCACATCGGACGTGTGAACACCAGCGTTTATCCCCCCCCCCCCCCCCGGAAAACGAACTCAGACACTCCAGAGAGCTTTATCCCTCCATGAAACGAGCCAACGAAGAATTTTGCATGGGTGAAACGGATCAGTGGAAGTTTAAACCGACTAACGTACTGAGCATTATTAGGGGAGTGGCGAGTGTTTGTAGGCAGCTCACGCAAACTCTGCGCGAGGGTTCATTCTGTTATTCTTGCTGAGCCATATGCCAAGCACGGGGACTGTTTGGCTGTTTGTGGGTGTTGGTCGGTAGCTGCAGCGATGGTGAAAACTCATTGCTAAATCGCGCATATTTTTATTTGAACATTGCATGGCGTTTATCTGACGCTGTTCTGCTGCCGCCTGTAATAGAATAAGCGTCAGCGTCGCAGTATGCAGGTGATGTAGTTAGACGACTTTAAACTGAGAAGTGGAATGCGTTGCGTTGAGGTTGCGAAGAAGTTGTTCTGCTTTGCGTCTCAACGGCCGCTACATGTAAGGAAGCTAGGCTCCGTAAATCCTTCCATATTCTGTGTTGTTACTTCCCCGCTCAACCGTTTCACTGGACTGTTGCAAGAAAATGAATGCCATCTGCTAACAAGCATGTTCCAGTCAGCTGACAGTCTGACAGGACCGCCACCAAGTGCATACGGTCGCACTCTCCACGCGCGGTTATGAGTATGTTTCCCGGACTGCTGTATCTTGACCATCGCGCTCCCAGCCGGCCGGCCGTATTCAACAATGCGCTGTCAGGGGATCAAATGAGCATGCTAGGTGGTGTTTGGCTTACGAATGGTTTACGGTGCCGCTCGCCGGTGATCCCATAGTGTTATTTTGTCGCTACGGTCGCAGCCGCCGCGCGCGACGATAAGGCTTTTTGATCGACCCCCGTAACCTTGCAAATTGCCACTGTGGCTGGCCTAGCAGCATTGAGTGATGTGCTGCCAGATGCTCAACCGAATGCAATGGGTGCCCTTGGCCGACAAACGCTTTCCAGTGCAAGCTGGCAGCGCTACCAAATCGACACGGTAACACTTCCGTGTACGATTTTAAATATTTGCGGGCTGCCGTATGTTAGCCACCGCGTTACCGGACAGCCAGGGGCTCATATGAACAAAATAGGTATTGCCGGTAGACAGTTACTGATGTAGCCGTCCGATAGTGCATCCACAGTGCTGTCATATGCACGCGGTCGAACCCGCAGCGCACTGCAATAGGTACTTCCGTTTTGCAAGCGAATTGGGATGTGCATGCTGCCAATAAACTGAGAGATAAAGCCCCGGTTGGGACCATGGGCGTCCAGCTGTCGTAGGGTGAGGCGGGAGGAAGTGACGCTATGCCGCCTGAGAATAGGACACACATACGCAACTCACCGATACCTGTTATGCGGGGAAGATCAACCGCGGTGTCCTCGCTGCGGGGATCGTTACACTGTACGACTTGTCTTGATAGATTGTGCCCACCTCGCCTTGGAACGTATGCCCCATTTTGGATCTGGGTCCTTGCGTCCAACGCTCTGTGGTATGTTGGGAGACGATTCCAGCTCAGTACATGACGGCCACATTTTTAGTTATCTTGAAGACGTACAATTTCATGTCATATATCGAACGAAACCTTATCTCCCGCTTTTTCAGGCTACTGTTAGACAAAAAGTAGGTTATGGGCGCCATATGACCAACGTAGTCGCTACGCTCAAAGCCCAAATCATAATCATCATCATCATCAGGTACTTTCGTTCGACCGCCGTAACTGCTGCGGTCGACCCGGCAGCATTGAGCGACGCGCTGTCAGGGGGCCAACCAGATAAAATGGATGCCGTCGGCCGACAAGTGTTCTGTTGGGGAAGGCATCCACGGTCATTCGGTTTTTGGGCCGAAGCCATGGTGACGATAATGCAACGTGAGGGGAGTCCGAAGTGTGGAGGTAGCCAGCATGAGCACGCAGCATATCTTGTTCTCTTATTCCACGGAATCCAAAGTAAAAGAAATGCACTTTTTGCACGAACGGGACCGATTTACATAAATGACTTATGTATGGCGAATGAATGAATGATTAAGTATGCCAAATGATTTTTGCGTTAAATGTGGCCAAATTTTTAAGCGCCGCCCCCCCCCCCCTGCCTCCTCCCCATTTTCTTGGCCTGAGCGAATAACACGCCGTTTTCGTCCAGGTGACACATCCTGAAGGAAAAGGTGCCTTATGGCCCGTCATGTCAACGTGCTTCAGGCGGATGTAGCATCGTGTCCGTGTTGTAACATCCGATGTCAGGGGACCGCCGCCCCACTCCACCTCCTCACGCCCGGCTGCAGCCCCACGCGCCTGGCCTTTCTAGCATGCGTGTCTTGTGCTGCAGGAGACCACCGTCTGACGGCGGACGAAATGGACAGCCAGCGGCAGCAGAGCGTGGCTTACGAGTATCTCTGCCGACTGGAGGAGGCCAAACGGTACGGTGGACAAGAGAGCACCCCAACGCGTGGTGTTCCTTGTACGCTCTTCGCCGGCTCATCTGCATGTACCGATCGTTGTGCGTGACCAACATTGTAGTAATGTGCCAGTTGAACTCCGTGTGTCACTCAGGCGCTGTTCTATCTCTGCGGCCGGTGCAACCTCGCCCGTGACTGACCCCGCCCGACCGCTGTGCCCTGTCAGTCTCCACCAGTGTCTGGCCCGCGCCCTAACCCCGCCCGCCGCCGCCGCGCCGCAGCTGGGTCGAGGCCATGCTGGACGACGTCCTGCCGCCGACCACCGAGCTGGAGGAGTCGCTGCGACACGGCGTGCACCTGGCGCGCCTGGCGCTACTGCTGCGGCCCGACACCTCGCGGCGCGTCTACGACCTGCAGCTTACGCGCTACGCCGCCAGGGGCCTGCAGTTCCGGCACACGGATAACATCAACATCTGGACGCAAACCATGCGGGAGATGGGGCTACCACAGGTGGGCATCCGCCTTGCATCCTATTGTTTTGGTGTGATTTTAGTTTGTCCTTTTACGCAAGTACGTGTATTGATAATCACATTGAGTTGGCGAGTCGCCGTTTTTGTTTCAGTTGCAGTGTGTTTGACGAGTGAGTTGCCGTCATATGAAGCACATTTTACATACTGCTTGCGCGTGCCCTCTGGCTGCTGCAGCGAGGGTCACAATCTTTGTAAACTCTATTTAGGCGTTTCATAAAGCTCACCAGGAGCATAAGAAATCACTAATTTCATGAGACCTTCCACATCCGCGCCAGCTTAACTTATCTGCTCCGTCAGATCTTCATACCGACGACCACTGACGTGTACGAGAAGAAGAACATGCCGAAGACGGTGTACTGCATCCACGCGCTCAGCCTGTTCGCCTTCAAGCTGGGCCGGGGCCCACAGATGCCCGACCTGCTGGGCAAAGCCGTCTTCACGGGTGAGACGGAGCGGGGTGCGACGCGGCCGCACCGCACAACAACCTGGCCGCACCGGGCGGCGCCGGGCGCTGCTGTCCGCCGCCGTCCGGCGCCTCTTCCACCGCTCCCAATGCCGTGGCGCCTCACTCCCGCCACACCGGCGGATACCCGGAGCGTCAGTGACCAGGCCGTGTCTCGACCCACGCCGCGGGCGCTTGCTCCGTCCCCCGCCCTTGCAGTGTAATGAATCCGTGATCGCCGTCTCTCCCCGCGCGTGCGGCGCGCTCGCCGCCGGCCGGAGCGTCCTGACGTCCGGCGCCGCTGGCAGATGCCGAGATTGACGCCGTGTCGGCCGAGCTGCGCAAGTACGGCCTCAGCCTGCCGACGTTCAGCAAGATCGGCGGCATCCTGGCGCGCGAGATGCCCGTCGACAAGGCGGCCCTTCACGCGGCCGTCATCGTCATTAACGAGGCCATTGACCGACAGGTGCGCAGAGGGAGGGAGGGGGCGGGGCGCCGGCGGCGTGTAGTCAGACCGCGGCTCGCCTCGCGCGCTCCTCGGACTAGGGAATTGTGTGTGATTATCAGCGAAACACTGAATGTCGCCGACATGCTTGGCTCGATTTGTGATGTTTGGGACTAGAGGGCGAGATTAACTGCGCCGAGGAGTGGTCGTGGGGCAACTGTCCGGCCGAGGAGGATGCATGCCCAGGGCCCGCACGAGTTTTTCATGTGCGGATCAACTGTCCTCTGAATGTGCGCTGAGTTCTCGCACCTGGCTGTCAATGATGCATGAGGAAGGTGTGTGTTCGAGCCACGCGTTGCACGCCGTCTCGACGACATTCGCGCGTAAGGTGCATAATTTGAACTAAGGTGGAGACCAGGTAACGCACTCCACTGTGTTCGATAATATTTGAAATTCGAAACTCCTCTTACCGCTCCCCTACCCTGCCTGGAGCTGCCCCGTGCTACCCCGCTTTGCCCTGCCGTGTCTTGCCCCACCAAACCCCGTCCAGCCCTGCCCTGCCCTGCCCTCCGGTGCCCTGACCTCTGCCGTGGCGGCAGGTACCCGCCGAGACGCTGGCCGGCCTGCAAAACCCGAACGCTCACCTGCGGGAGGTGGCGGCCGAAAATGCTGACCTCTACCAGAGCCGGCTGGCGGCGGCCAAACACAGCAAGGTGGAGGCTGCCCAGAACCGGGTACGTCTCGGCCGCCGGCGCTCTGGGTCAGGAGCGGACGATTGTGGTCGCGATGTGGACATGAAGTTAAAGTCCTACAACGCTGATGCTGGGCATATAGACCTACGGTCATTGTCTTGCTCTGGTTGCAGGTTGAAAAGACACGTGGTCATTGTCAGGTCTTTTGTGACATCAAACACAGCACTTGTTCCGCTGTGTTCAGGTGCCTGACTGTACGGGAGCTTCAGACTATAACGTTTCTTTGAGTGTCTCAGTTCCGATCGTTGTGCCCGACACGGTGAGTGACACTGAGGCTGTCGCTCTCTGCAGTCGCTGTCGGAGACGTTCGAGGCAGACGTGTACGACGAGCTGCTGACCCAGGCCGAGATCCAGGGCCACATTGGCGCCGCCAACCGGGCGGCCGCGCTGGCCCGTCTGCACGAGGCGCTGGCTGGCGGCGACCCGGCCGGCCTGTGGGCCGCCCTGGCCGCTCCTTGCCTCCGACTGCAGGTCAGTGGCGTGTGCCCCGCCTCCGACTGCAGGTCAGTGGCGTCCCCGCCTCCGACTGTAGGTCAGTGGCGTCCTCCGCCTCCGACTGTAGGTCAGTGGCGTCCTCGCCTCCGACTGCAGGTCAGTGGCGTCCCCCGCCTCCGACTGTAGGTCAGTGGCGTCCCCGCCTCCGACTGCAGGTCAGTGGCGTGTCCCCCGCCTCCGACTGTAGGTCAGTGGCGTCCCCGCCTCCGACTGCAGGTCAGTGGCGTCCCCCGCCTCCGACTGTAGGTCAGTGGCGTCCCCTGCCTCCGACTGCAGGTCAGAGTCGTCCCCCGCCTCCGACTGCAGGTCAGTGGTGTCCCCTGCCTCCGACTGCAGGTCAGTGGGGTGTCCCCTGCCTCCGACTGCAGGTCAGTGGTGTCTCCTGCCTCCGACTGCAGGTCAGTGGCGTGTCCCCCGCCTCCGACTGCAGGTCAGTGGCGTGTCCTCTGCCTCCGACTGCAGGTCATTGGTGTCCCCCGCCTCCGACTGCAGGTCAGTGGCGTGTCCCCTGCCTCCGACTGCAGATCAGTGGTGTCCCCCGCCACCGACTGCAGGTCAGTGGCGTGTCCCCTGCCTCCGGCTGCAGGTCAGTGGTGTCCCCTGCCCCCGACTGCGGGTCAGTGGCGTGTCCCCTGCCTCCGACTGCAGGTCAGTGGTATCCCCTGCCTCCGACTGCAGGTCAGTGGCGTGTCCCCCGCCTCCGACTGCAGATCAGTGGTGTCCCTTGCCTCCGAGTACACGTCAGTGGTGTCCCCGCCTGCGACTGCAGGTCAGTGGTGTACCCCGCCTCCGACTGCGGGTCAGTGGTATCCTTTATCGGCTGTCAGTCCCGTGCTATCGTTCGGTACCATCGACTGTGACCGCATTCATGTGTTTTCTCATCGCGCCTTTGAAGTGTGTTGTGTTGACAGGGTCTAGCGCGGATATTTTTATACTAAACCGGAAACTTTAGAAGGATGGCCACTAGGAGGGCGCGGTCCTCCGTATGCCCGAGCGGTCTGACCACCCCAGGCACGGGTTATGTTCGCAGCGTGTTGCTTCGGACTGCATGTCGGACTACATGGAGGGGCTGAGGCGCGTCACCAACGGCCACCCCCCGTCCACGGAGGACGTGCAGCGGGTGATCGACCAGGTCAACCAGGTGTTCAGCCAGCGGCATCAAGGTCAGTCCCATGACAGCGTCACGCGGAAGCAAAGTGGCCGTCGTAGCCACTGACGTGTGGCTCGTAAGATGGGGACGAAGTCTGTCATTCTTGGCCGTAATGTTTGGGCTGAGTTTCATTCACTCATTGACCTCATTGAAATGTTCGGGTCATGCTGCCACACCTGTTTCCCAATTGACTACGGTTGTCTTGTGATGTCGACCAGTTTTCCTCTGTTGCAATGTTACAGGGGAGCGGATTTTGTTTCGAAGACTGTCAAGTGGGGTCACCATTGAAACCATTGGGTGTTAAGTGCTGGGGAGGGTTGAACTCCCGAAACGAGCGCCTGTGGGTTCGGAACAGATTTAACATCATGGTGGACGGCTCAGACAGGAGCTGACACGGAAAGGTCCGCCGGGCTCTATTCATGGCGTAACATACATTAGCACGTCATAATGTGACACCGCAGGTATCGGGTACCTTTTTCTCCATGATGGTGAGAGGTGTGTAATGCAACTTCTGTAGAATTCAACTTTCAGTGGGTGGGTAGTACTGGTGAGCTAAGGGTATACACACCAGGCGGTGTTTGTCATGTGTTCTAGGCCTGATGTGTGTGTGTGCGGTTCGAAATAGAAGTCATTTGATGTGTGTGTGTGTGTGATATGATGTGTGATGTGATGTGAAGTCATGTGATGATGTGTGATTGCAAGAGTCAATTATGTGTGTGTGTGTACGGTTCGAAATAGAAGTCACCAGCCTCAGCAAATTTACGCTCAGTAACTTAAGTCATTCAACGTACCAGACAGCTCAATAGGATCAACATACATTCAGCTGGTGGTTGAACATGATGTCATTGAGGTGCATACTTTCAATCGCGTAGTTTGAATTGGCTCAGTAACTTCGAATGTACCGCCGATTGAAGCGTGGTAGCGTTGACTGCACCATGAAATCACCTGCGTTCCCTCGTTTTTTTTTCTTCGAATACAGCAGAATCGCATGATGCTTCCAAGAAGGATCGTGTGATCAAACGTAGAATTGTCGTCACCAGACTTGTTGGCCCAGCCCAGCTTGAAGTCGTAGCCAATGAGGGACGTCAGTGCGTTCCGGGGCCCACGGCGATTGGAGGGCGAGCTGGCAGCAGTTGGCGATTCAAATGATGGCTGAGGCTGTCTTTGAAGCATGGGTCATGTTGCCAATGCTTCGAACGGACTGTGCATTTTAAGTTCTGGGCCCATGTAAACTAGCTAATTAGCCTACTGCTCATATCAGCTCTCCGTATTATGGCTGCATTCGGAACGAGTTAGTATCAAACAGCTGACCGTACAGCGTGGCGTATGGTATTGGCGATTCAATCTTCGGTAAAAGAAAACTTGCCGGTTGTATTTCGTTCGCATGGCTATCTGCGGAGATAGACAAATGCTATCCTGAGCACCACTCGAGGCCAGCGACGTGCCAAGAGCATCCGAGTCAAACAAACTGGGATAAGATACGGATTTCGCGCGGCGTAGTAGTTTGAGACAAATATATCTGGAAATTCTGTGTAAGGCGGTGTGACGATGTTAACGTGATCCAACAACAGCGGACAAACACGGTAATAGTTATCCGGGAAGCAATTATACGTACAACCGGCTCTTTGGGCCCCCGAGAATCACACAAAGTGAGTGCGTGAGTCGCACCTGAATCGTACGTGAGTGGCACACGTTGGATCCATGGAGGTACAGGTCCTGATTCTGGTGGATTTGATTCAGGTGGTCTCTGACATTGTTTCCGTTTGCATCCAGTGTAGTGCACCGGCACAGACTTGATGTGTGTGGTTGACAGGTTCGCGTTGTGATCATGGGGTGCCATTTTCAGTCACGTAGTGCCGCTGCCGGGTGTTCCACCGCCGTGCTAACATGCCGTATGCATGCATGAATCAAAACAATCAGCTTTGACTTTTTACTTTTTTTTTTACTTTTGACAACTTTGAGTTGACTGGACTTTTGTAGAATTCGAATCTCGTTCATTCTACTGCGTTATTTGCTGACGGCCAACTCATGACCTGTGCTACGCGTTCTTCCAGCCTTGCAAAGCTATGTCCTTCATCACCCAGGTCTGTGGGAGCATCAAGCTTTTGCTATGCTAGTGCACTAATCGCGGGAGCCCACCGGAGATAGTCCTACTTGGCCAGGGTCGCAAACAGCTCTGGCGAAAGGATCAGTGCCTGTCGTTGCCTGATAATATGAGCCTCAACGGATCAAAGTGGAGCCACCGCAGGCACTATTCCTGGAGCACTGATGCGTGAATATCACCCACCTGCGTGCGACATTTGCAAAGGCTCAGGTAAAATAACTCCGACGGCATTCAGAAGAGGGGATGGCACCAACGTTGCTGTGGATACGTGGACGTACCACCACCAATCTCTCCCGTTGCTGGATAACACCGAGCCCTACTGCCCCCGCCCCTGCCGCCCTATCCCAGTGGTGCTGCCCTCCGCCGCCGGTTCGTGCCTGGCTTAGTGTGTCCCGCTGCCGCTGCCCTGGGCAGTGACCCGGCGACCGATGCTCCGCCCGGTCGCCGGCCGCCTCATGGTTTGGGCCCGGCCGTCTCCGTCGACGCGGCCGACGCCGCCTCGAGGGCGCGGCCGCGTCAGCCATTCCGACGCAGCCATTCCGCGGCAGCCATTCCGATGCAATAGGCTGTTGGCCTAAATAACCCCCCCCCCCTCCCTCACACTGTCAGATCCAAGACTGGCGTAGTTCTGGGCCCATCAGAGGGCCCAGCAGAGGAGACTGAGTTGGAGACCGACAAACGGTACATGAGTGGTTGCTATTCATATGCAGCATGACGGAGAGAGTTCAGTGAGGCAGGTGATTCAAGTTCAGGTGTGGTCTGCAGTGGAGACGTGCTGTTTTGAAATGCATGATGATTCTGTCAAGGAATACAGTCACTGAAATGTGGAAAATTAATGTGAAATGGACAACGACATGGCAGCAGAGCCATGCAAATATAGCACGTGAAATCGCCACAAGGTCCGAATAGCACAAAACAAAACAGCTTTCGCCACATTTTACATCAAGTGCGTATTTTGGTGGTCTATGACGAGGTCAGGATGTTGAAATTTTCGCTGTTATGTAGTGTGATTGAGCATGCTCGTATAGCGAAGCACGGTGACCTTAGCGCAAAGTAGATCGCAGGTTCATCTAATTCCGTCATCGTTACACAATAGCTGCTCGCATGAGTGTGGTATTAAATTAATCGAGTGTTGTCGCAAAACGGACCCACCAAGCCACGGATGTCAGGTGCGACGAGAGCATACAGGTAGAGACGACATCAACTGTCCACCACCCGTGGACGATGCAGGTGCGTTCGGATATGTGCGCCTGTGCTGCATTGGGTGCATTGCGCAGAGCATTTTATTTGAATCCTATTCGGTGTCTGACCATCGCTATCATGTTTTTTCCTAGTTCTTTCAAGCCATACGTCCGCACCGTGTCCAGACTGGTGCAAAGTGCTGATGCACCTGGTGTCAACTGTTTTTACCATTTTCACCACCAGACACTACGAAACTTGTACTTTGTACGTACCCGTTAGTCAATAAGCTGTTACGCCGAAAACGAAGTAAGGTTTTAAATAACTCTTTCGTTTGATGTTTTCCAATTTCGATTGCTTCATTGTCAACTGCGCTAATGTTGTCTTGTTACAGCTATGCAGTGGAGCTACATATTTTCTCGCATAAAGCCGCCCCAAATATACCAAAGCCGTGCACAATGGTCACATTCGTATCACCTACGAGTCCCAATTGACTCATAAATCGCTCCATTTGTTCATCACCATTAAATGTATATGCAGGGTTAAACATGTTTGTGCCAATGTCATCATTGTCAAACATGTCTCAGATAAAGAAATCATGTTGGTTGGAGCGGCAAGCGATGCTGCTGGATCGTACACCCCCGGTGCATGTAGACCTTCTGACAAGAACACCATCGGTGACGCCACTAATCAGTTAGAGGGAAACTGGGTGAAACGATGTTACCAACTGCACATGCATTCACGCTCGACGTGGTGACGCGTAGAAAGGACGACAAAACAGGCAATTGGTGAGCTAGGGGAGGTCGATATGGAAACGAAACAGGGAATTCGGAATGGCCAATGTGTGCTGCCATTTGTTAGATGATAACCTGAACCGTCTCAAGTCAGTTTTCATTAAACAATGACACATTTTTCATAAGGTTGTTGCCTCCCTGCATAATTTTTGGATTAGTATGAAATGATATTTGTATTTTGGTTTGCATGCGTAAATTAAGATCAGTCGACCATTTGAAAACCATTGTTTTTCGTGATACGTGCTTATCAAGGTGATTTTTTGTCAATACTCCCAAGTAGAGCTCTGTATCAAAGAGAACACGTGCTTCATTGGCCGTTTCAGTGAGCAGCTTGATCCAGGATGAGTCGTACTTCGACGGATTTGCAAAGTTAGTGTTAAATGCTTGTTGGGGGTATTGTCAATTCTACACCAACGACCTCTGTATGGTACGGAGTTAAATTAAAAACGCGATTGGTTTCAAACACTCCGCCTCAGCACATGCCTGGTTAATACATGGAAAGTAGTATAAGTTTATGCGATGTTTATTAACCAAATTAAATGTGAAGATATTTCAATGGTTGAGGGCACACGTCAATGTGGTAGTACATTCTCGCGTTTTTTTGTGACCAGGTGACATCTATCAACTTGTGCGTAGAAATGACGTCGTTTTATCGCTGTAAGATGTAAAAATAACAGCAATCTTGATCAACAAGAAACAAATCCAAAATCTCCACGTGGGAAGGCTATTCAAAATCTGATATCACATCACGATCCACGCAGCGGACAAGCTGCCTTTGAGACTGTATGCCCGAGCCAGCTATCCATGCCGTGTCCTCCCCCCGAGTGGGCCGGTTACCTGGGCGGGGGGATGGGACTGGCTGGATCGGTCAGACCGCGGCTTACCTGCGCTGCCACGGTCCCGCAGCCGCCGGTTCTGGGGTTCCCCCACAGCTGCGCAAGGTGCCGGCTTTATACCCGCGACTGCAACCGGACACGGTCATCTTCAGTACCACGAGACACGTGGCACGGTCACGTTACCGCCGGGGGTGGGGACAAGGTCACCCTCTCTACTACCGGGGATGGGGACACGGTCACCCTCTCACAATCGCCGGCGATGGGGACACGCGTCTCGTCTTTCTTCTTCCTGCTGTCTTCAGTTTAGCATTCACTGTTTGGTGCAGTGCAAGGTGTGTCGAGCTGTCGGATAGTGACCACCGATGGGTTTCTATCTCCATGTTGTCGTGCCTAATGTGTGGAAATTGAGCCGGGGTTCGTTGTTCCTGATTTCGCGTCAGCGTATTCGGCTGATTGCTCTGATCGGTGCTGACAAGCGGGTGCTGTGACCTGGACCTGGACCTGGACCTGGCCTGACCTGGATCTGGCCTGTCCTGTACCTGACCTGCCCTGGACCCGACCTGCCCTCACCTTACCATAGCCCGACACTGACACCCGACCGCGAAGGCCCAATTTTGTGGTGAGGACGTTCCCGAGTTAATAGCCTCCTAGGTCACAAAAATAACCTGGAGGTGTGCCGATCATGATAAATCGTGACTTTCCCGACTACTGTGCCAAAACTACGCATCGCAGCTCCATGACAATGTCAGCATAGCCATCGCATGTTTTTTGTGCATCAAATGGCGTACCAGCGGACCCTGCCAGGCCAACCGGCAGCCTCCCAGAGCGGGCCAAAATAGGCTGTGTTCGTACGGCGGATATCCGTAACTTGCCTAAGGGAACTGTTCGGCGAAAAATTATGCATTACTCTAAAAATGAATGACAACAATGTTTTGTATAACATAAGAGCTGATCGGGGAATATAATCGGGGAATGGCTTTCGGTCAAACAGGTCACGAAAGGCTGCTGACCTGACATGACCTCGAGGCCCCGAAATATAACGTACTGACGGGTACCCCGGGACCTCGCTTGACCCCAGCTACACGCTGGCCTCCATGTTCCGTTTTCATGCTGGCATCCTTCCGACTGAATCACTGCTGTTTGCTCCACCCGCATAACCGGACATGATCCGAGGCTACCTGGCTATGTCAAAAGGGTCATAGTTCATAAGTCTGCGTATCTGCTTTGTCAGATGAAAACTGTGATTGCATGACGAGGTCATGCTTGGTCATTCACGTGGATTAACTCGCGATATGTCAGAGGTCATCAGACTGCCCAATCGGGGATGGGCAGCCTGTTGGCCAAATGCGTGATGAGCTAACAAGTTTGCATGGCACCCCGGAGCAGCGAGGACAGCGGCCGGTACATCATGCAAGCCTTCGAGATTGTTCCTGTATGTCCGTTTTCTGATATGACACGAGGTTGGAACTGGCCTCAAAATGTGGAGAATACAATTTGATCCGTGCATATTGGGCGGCGGCACCCTACCGTTCTTCTGGCCAATGTGGACACTTCGGTTGGGTGAGGGCTCACTTGACATGGCTGGTCGCCGTCACCTGGAAAGTGGATATCTGGTCCAACTCCTCAAGAGCCCAACTATTCTGCTTCACTGTAGCCCGACCCGACGAACTTCTGAATCTGCCTGATCAGATCTGCACTCCTCGGTCTCTCTTCTCAGAGTTCATTCCGGACTCCGTACGTGCTCTACACGTACAATCTTGGTGGCCCACCACATTGCCTCTGCTTTTTCCCCTGTCCCCCCCTTCCCTTCCCCTCGGCGTGGCGCAGCCTCCCTGCCGTCCGACCCCTGGTACTGTCTCCTGCGCTGATGCCGTCCCTGACCCGCTCCACCTCTCCACCGGCAGAGGAGGCGCTCGTGGCAGCGGTGAACGCGTGCCTGGCCTCGCCGGCGCCGCGCCCGGACCAGCTGCTGGCGCTGCTGGCGCCGCTGGCTGCGCCGGACGCGCCGCTGCCCGGCTGGGCGGCGCCGCTGTTCCTGCGCGAGATGGCGGCCGTGCGGCGCGAGCAGGGCGCCGACCTGAGCGGACCGGCGCTGCGCGGCGCGCTGGCGCTCCTGCCGGCCGTGGCCGCCGTCAACGCGGCCGTGGCCGCGGCGGAGCCGGCCGCGCTCTGGGCGGCCCTCAGCAACCCGGCCGTCTATATCATGGTGGGTCGGAGGAGGGACGCGCTGGGCGGGCCCGCTACATCATGGTGGGTCGGGGCAGAGGGACGCGAGGGGCAGGTCCGCTGCATTATGGTGGGTCGAGGGAAGGGACGCGCTGGACGGACCCGCCGTCTCTGACGTGATGTGACGGGGCTGAGGTCGCGTCGTGCCCCCCTCTCCGCCCCGTGTATATCGTGTGTTGGCGGGGCACGGGCTGCGCTCAGTAATGACGCCGCTCGGTGCGTCATGGTACACATCGCGTCATCTGGGACGGGAATGTTCGCTCATTTGTGGTCCCCAATCCTGCCATGAGATCGATGGTGGGAGGATGCCATCGGGCGAACTCTAAAACTCTGCCGTCTGCACGAGATGCACAGGTTGCGTGTCTAGCGTAGACGGGGTGTTCCACCATCTGCTTGGGGTCTTGTCGCTGTCGTGTCTTGTTTTGTCGTGTTTTTTGTTTTTGCTTCAATTGCGCGGTACGTGGTTTGGGCTTCACATGACTTCACCATTGGACAAAGCCGTTGGTATGTATCTGCTGTGTGCCACAGTCATCACCCGGAATGAAAATCGGTCGAATTTCTAAATGCAACTGATCTTGCTCGCTGCATTTTCGTAGGCCTTGTGCCGCTGTATACCCGACGGCAGTGCCAGTGTTGGTAACGCCCCGTACTGTACTGTCAGGACCTGGACCAGAGAGCTGCTGCTGCCGGCAGTGCCTGTGGTTGAAACGGGCTGTGGCCGTGCCGACAGGACCTGGACGAGAGCTGCTGCCGGCGGTACCTGGCGGTGCTGGAAGCTGCCCGGCGGCAGGCGGCGGCCGACAACCCACACTGTCCCTTTATCACGCATCAGGACATCCAGCGAGCCGTTGATGACGTCAACAGTGACGTGGAGGCCGAACAGACCAGTGAGGACCTGCGTTCCTTACCTTGCTCTCTCTGCCCTCTCCCCTGCGGACGACCGGGTGTCGGCGACGGCTGTGCTTAGGTGGAGCGCGGCAGGGCTCGGGACGGGGCTGATTCGCCGTAGAGCTCAGCTGGTGGCGTCACACAACGGTCATGGTATAGAGGAGAACAACAGCATCGGTCTGTGGGGCTAGCAATGTAGTGTGTTTGCGTGAACGGCCTGGCCTTAGCTGAGCACTAACTCAGAACGTGACCTGAGGGATACTCGTCTTCCATGTTCTACCTCTATCATTGCCTGACGTGTCGGCGCGCGTGTGTGCGTGATGAGCTTGCTGACATTGGTCTGGCGCCTGGCAGAGGTGGAGCTGGTGGAGGCCGTGAACCAGGCAGTCCAGATGGGCGACAGTGCGTCCCTGCTGAACACCCTGACGGACCCAGCGCTCGGGTACTGTGACGTCACCCAGCACAGCGTCCACCACTGCCTACAGCTGCTTAAGGTACCGGCCATGTGCTGTCCCACCCAGCACAGCGTCCACCACTGCCTACGGCTGTTCAAAGTACCGTCCATGTGCTGTCCCACGCAGCACAGCACACTGTATGTGTGTATGCATGTACGTGCGTACGTATGCATGTGTGTATGTATGTATGTATGTATGTATGTGTGTATGCATGCATGTATGTATGTGTGTGTATGCATGCAATGATAAAAATCTCCACAACGTGGTTTTCCGATTGCCCAGCCGGCACATGCCCTAAATTAACAACGAACTCACCAGTTAGTTCATATGCATTTTGGACTCACCAGGCACGGTGGGCCCGGATCTGGGTTGACCCTCTTTGCCAGGCGCCAGCTGACATTTCCATGTCAGTCGGGTTAAGCGATGCGCTCGCTCCGGGACTCGAACCCGGAGCCGCTGGGTAGCGGGTCCGAGGTCTTCCCCTAGGCCACTTAGTACATAGCGTCAGTAATGGCAGATCACAAGCCGATCAATTTTGATGCACAAATGGACAAGAGGGTCATTTAGTAGTGGTGCTTTAATCGTGTTCGACGGTAAGGGTATCACGTCTACTTTGACCAAGGCGACCGTATGCACTGCGGAGAAGCAGGGGATCGCGATCGGGCTGTTGGGTATCCGACTGACAACCAGCAATGAGGTGCCGGGGTTTGGAACCCCACTGTATGGTACAAATAGCACAAAGGCTTTGGATTTATCACTCGCCTTCATCACGGTGAGTTATGCCAGCAGCCTTTGTAAGCAGTCCGTGTACATGACAAACTATTGAAGGGTGTTCTGGTGACGTCACAACGCTGTCTTGTCCGACAGAGCGCTCAGACGGCGAAGCTGCGCCGTGAAGGCGACGGCGTGCTGTGGCTGGAGGACGTCGACGAGGCGGTGCGGAACGCGCTGGTAGACCACCAGCTGGCAGAGCGGGGTGAGTGGCTGCAGCACGTTGCCGGCAGTTCTGGGCCCAGGGTGGCTTCGGTGAGTGGCTGTCAGTCAGTGCCCGACAGAACTGTGCTCCGCTCGGTACGCGGTAAGGAACAAAACAAATACGAGCTGGCACATTATGTCTGTGGTCCACTCACGCAAGCATCGCCGTTAGGCTTCTGTGCCGGCAGTGTTTCCTGAAGCCCTGCCACGGCTCAGCGTTGGCTCCGCTCGGGTATCGGTGGCCTGGTATTCTCTCGGTCTAGTGTATACAAATAGCAGGTGCTCCAATACTTGTGATGTTCCTGCTGGACACTCCCATTTCGCGGACCGCGGACCGCTCCTGTCTCTAGCGCACGGGACCCGGGTCGGTCGGTCGCGGCTGGTACCCCTGGAATGGCGGCGCGGGTATAGCCCGAATAGGGGACTCCTCTCGAGAAGTGTGTGGTGTGCGGCGTGCAAGGGCGCGGACGGCCGCTGGAACCGGTCATACTCGGAGACTGACCGCATATGTGTGGGTGACGGCGCGTCCGGTAAGCAGTGGTGAGATAAGGGCAGTGACCGGGTGCCTGCTGGCGCGACCCCCGCCTGCCCGCTGGCTGTGTCGCGGCGTCGAGCGCGGCTGGTTTGCCGAGCTTCGCCGCGGCACCCACCTACGGAGCCTATGTTCAGCGGACGTTCTCGACGAAAGGAAAGGTCACGAGAGCCCGGAGACGACGATGTGCAGTGTCGGCGTCGGCAGGGCTGATCTGCGCTGAGCCTGGAGATGTCGGATCGCGGTGGAGCGGGGTTCGGCGTCCAGCGCTCACGTCATCGCCGCGTCTGGTGGACGGCACCGGCGCCGACGAACGCCACAGAGCTCGAGGTCGGCCCCAGGAGCTGGCGGTGCAGCGGCGGAGTGTCGCCCGGACCGATGCGTGGCTGATTTGACGTCGCGCACCGTGCATCCGTGCCGGGTAGGCCCAGAAGATAGCGGAGATAGCAGAGAAGCTGGACCAGCTGACCGACCTCACGTCAGAGAAAAGGGTGGATAAGAAGCTGGGCCGGCGCTCCCAGGACGTCGGGCAGCGACTGGGCCAGCAGTGGTGCACCACTGACGCCTGATGCAGTCACGGCTAAGATGAAGACGGCGTCAGTAACTGGGAAGAGAAGACGGGTCGCGGAGGGGAGCGCCATACGAAACCGCAGAGCTGAAGAGAACCGTCGAGATGCAGCAGCGTCGTCAGTAGTCTTACCCGACTGTACGGGCTGGGCAAGGCTCATACCAACGCCTGGCAGGCCCTCCCGGACACCGGCCTGAAGATCGCGTGTTTTGGCGGGAAGGCCGCCTATGGAGCACATCAGGGCCACCGTCAGATCAGGGCCGGCGCTAATACATCGGCCGACGAGGAGCCCGAAGGTGCAAGTTCGTAACGGTGCATGTCAGTGTCAGGTAGGGTAAGCTGATGTACAAAATGTTCACTTAGCCCAAGTTAACTTCTATGCAGGTTGCGCACCCTGTCAGTGGAGTTGAGTATCACCCCCGTGTCTGAATCAGATAGGACTTCCTGCCTTAGTTTTTGGGCCGGCTGTGGTTTCTGTTGAGACCGGACCCGCCGTCGCCGACCAGACCCTCTCCGCCACGTCCGCAGCGTGTGTGGCGCTGTCCGACCTGCGGGCCGCTGACCTGGCCAGCCCCCTTCGCCGCGTCCCCAGCGTGTGTGGCGCTGTCCGACCTGCGGGCCGCTGACCTGGCCAGCCCCCTTCGCCGCGTCCCCAGCGTGTGCGGCGCTGTCCGACCTGCGCGCCGCCGACCTGACCAGCCCCTCCGCCTCGTCCCCAGCGTGTGCGGCGCTGTCGGACCTGCGCGCCGCTGAACTGAGTGCGCTGCCGGCCGGCCAGCTGGTGGCGCTGCTGCAGCTGCCCTGCCTCGGCCTGCGGGACGTCTCGCCCAGCCTGGCCGAGCACTACCTGCGCGCCCTGCGCCGCCTCAGCGCCGGCCGCCGCCCGTCCGGCCCGGTACGGTCCGGCTGGAGGACTCGGCGAGCCCCCTGACGCAGCAGCTGGGCTGGCAGCCGAGCGTCTTGGGGCTCCGCCAGGGACGGCGGTGCGGGGAATGTCTGTGCCGCGGTGGTTGGGTGGGTAGGTGGATGGATGGGCTATACCGTTACGAGGTGGGGCTATCTCATCGAACAAGCGCTGGCTACGGGCCGTGTCTGGCATTGGTAACCGCGATAAGTTGCACCTGCAATCGCGGCATTCTGGCTTGAGCGGACGGCATGTCACCCCCCAGCCGTGCGGCACGCTGTGTCGGGAGTGTGGCACCAGAGGTCAGGCCGGTTCCCACGGGGATGACGTCCGCCTCGGCGCTGGCAGGGCTCCGACGAGGGCTGGATCCCGCACTCGGTCGGAGGCGCGAACGAGGCCTTCCTGCACCTGGCGACGGGTCTGGTCACCTGGCACCAGCCGAACCGCGGGCAGCTGGCCGACGCCGCGCTGGACCAGCGCTCCCTCCAGGTGGGTGCGGCGCGCTCGTGCCTGGGCCGGGCAGCTGGCCGACGCCGCGCTGGACCAGCGCTCCCTCCAGGTGGGTGGGGCGCGCTCGTGCCTGGGCCGGGCAGCTGGCCGACGCCGCGCTGGACCAGCGCTCCCTCCAGGTGGGTGCGGCGCGCTCGTGCCTGGGTTTCGCAGGCAGCTAGCCGACGCCGCCCTGGACCATCGCCCCCTCCAGGTGGGTGGGGTTCGCTCGTGCCTGGGCTCCGCGGATAGCTCGCCGACGCTGCGCTGGACCAGCACTCCCTCCATGGGAGTGGGGCTCGCTCGTGCCTGGGCGCCCGGGCGCTAAATTGTCACGTTGATACGTGGCTTTAGTTTCATCCCGTTGCCGTTGTTCGATCCCGAGGGAAGGTTTTGTTCTGTTGTATTTTTTTTTTTCACCAGCAGCGTTACGTAGCAAGGTAGGTAAGTCGTAAACAAATGTAAAGTAAGTGGAGTCCAAGTCGCTTCTGGTGAAGAAACCTGCCGGCCGCTGTTGGCTGCCCCGAACACCAGCCTGACCCAGCCATTGTTGATCTCAGCCGGATCTCGCCACCTCCGTGCCTCGTCCGGCTGACGTGCGTCCGCTGGCGGGCCTGACTGGCTCGGCCCTCGCCGACAGCGGCTGGTGACCGAGACGAACGGCGGCCGGGAGCGGCCCGAGCGTTGGCTGGTGCCGCTGCAGGCGGCGGCGCGCGGCCTGCTGGCCCGCCGCCGCCTCCGCCAGCGCCGTCTCCTCTACAGCCGGCACGAGCCAGAGGTCGTCCGCATTCAGGTGGGCGGCCGGGGGTGACGGCGGAGGGTGGCCGACCTGGCGGGAGCGGCGCCTCGCTGAGACAGGGGAACGAAGGGCTGGCGGCTGTGTACCTGTCCTGATGACGTCAAGACCCCTTTGCTTAACTGGTTCTGCTTGTGCTAGACTGAAAAGTTAAATGTACAATCTGATGAAATTATGAATAGACTAAGATGAATCTTGTTCTTACATGTATAGCTATGTATACCGCGTGGCAAGTCTGCCCACCGCACATGTGGCGGCGTGCTGGCGGCCAGCCGACTGAGGCGGGCCGGTGACGGTCGCGGCAGGCGTGGTGGCGGGGCGCGCGCCAGCGGCGGGCCTACCTGCTGCAGCGCACGCAGCGCATGGCGGCCCGCGTCGAGCAGCTTCGCCGCGAGGTCGACGAGCTGCGCAGCCGCCAGCTGCAGGAGGAGCAGCTGCTGCAGCGCTTCAGACCGCACGTGAGTGGTGGGAGGGGTGAGGGTGGTGGGTGCCGAGTTCAGGGGCGCGAAGTGTTGTCGCCTCGGTAATTGCTTCGCGCGATGTAAAGCAGTGTTGAGGAATGCCACCTCATTGCACTACTCTGTTGTGTTTCCAGACCCGTGGCGACGTTTCTTGTCTTTTCCGTTGGCGTGAATAATCAAAGTAGCCGTTTGAACTGATGCATAAGAGCGTGCCTTAGTTGCCGCAAAGCGTCGCGGACGATCTAGATGCATGGACCTCTAATTCCCACCCGGCGACCGTGTAACCCGCTGCACGGCAGCAGCCGTCAGAGCGGCCTCCTACCGTACCTTGCCCTGCCTCCCCCCCCCCCCCCTCCCCCGCCCCGCGGCGGTGCCTTGACGCGACTGCGTCTGCGCGCGGCCGCCGCCAGGAGGCGAGCGTGGTGCGCCTGCAGCGCTGGTGGCGCCGCCTCCGCCTGCGGCACGAGTTCCGTCAGCTGGCTGCCGCCTCCCGACCGGACGTGTCGTTGCTGAGGAAGTTCGTCCACCTGCTGGACGTGCAGGGCTCCGACTTCAAGGAGGAGGTGCAGCTGCAGGCGAGTATGCCGGCCGGCGTCGGGGAGCGGCGGGACGGCTCCGGCCACCGCCCGGCGACCGGCCGCACGTCTAGGGGTGGAGGGCCGCGGACAAAAGGAGTTGAGTGGGAGGGGTGGGCTGAACAGTGAGAAATGACATAACTTACCGCAAAACACGTCAACAAACGGGGTTCTGCCGGCTTTGGCCAACTTGCTCAAAGTTCCGGTCTGGCGTCCCTTGCAACTGAACAGAAAACTACACCCCTGCTTATGTTACTCCGATGATAACCATCGTGGGTAGAAAATATATTAATAGCCCGGATGACAACCGTGCTGTTTGGGTTTCGACGAAATTTATTTAGCTAAACTTTCGTCCAAAATACTTGTTGCCTAAAAAATGCTGGGTTAGAGCGTCTTAGATGTTGCGAGATTCTCGTTTCATTCAGTCATTCATACAGGCCGGCAGCAACAACTGGACTGTTGACACACCACATTTAATGAACACTGGTGTTGACGGCAGCTAACGGTCTAGTGCTTGGGGCCCTCCACAATGTGATATGAATTTATCGATTGAAAACGCGGCCTCTTTTATATCAGTGCTGCAGCTTTTGACTTAACAACAAAGCCTTCAATCTTCTAACTTCCTTTCCAAATGGGTTTTGAGTGGGTCGATCCCGGCTGTAGTGCAATGCCAGGCAGCCCCGCGGCAGGGCGGGAGCAAACTTCAAAAACCTCACCAGTGCTGAAAAATAATTTTGGTATACTGGTTACCGTGCAGAGACGTGTCGTATGTCAAGCTGATAAGAGCAGATTTTGTATTTAAAAGCACATTTTTGATAAGTCTTGGGAACAGAAAAAAAAACATATGCCTGTCCCACGTGGGAAGTCATTTACAATAAACACGCGCTGCACAAAGCTCGTACAAATCACGTGACACATTGGGCAAGAACATTAAGTAAATACGCACCATATATATATATATATATATATATATATATATATATATATATATATATATAGATATAGATATATAGATATAGATATAGATATAGATAGATAGATAGATAGATAGATAGATATGTATATATATATATATATATATATATATATATATAACCAAAGAAGAAGAAAGTATAACCAAAGAAGAAGAAAAAACATTTCGTATGCTCTGATGGGCTGCCACGACGGACGGCGCAGCGTGAATTGGGTACGCACGGTGCTGGTGGAGCCACCAGCTGCGCAGAGGTGGCGCCACAGTGCGCTTGGGACACGGCGGACGGTGTGGGCCGTGGGCTGAAAGCGGCATGCGATCTAATGCGGTCGTTTAGCCAGCTGATGACAGGGCACACTGTCGTAACGTAAACTTGGGCTCCGTTTGTGCACGACCTCTCTTGAAGGACTTGGGAGCATCTGAGCGCTGATCAAAGGCGGTGGTTTGGCGGCGGTCGGCGGCTGCGCCACGGGGAACACAGGGACGGGCGCCTGGCGCACAGACCGTACAGCGGCGGGCAGGCGCGGCCGACCGCCGGCGCCCTCCCGGCCTTGTCATGCTCCTTGACGGCGCTCCGAAACGGCCCACACCTGCCTCGACACCTGGGCTATCACCTTAAGACCGGCTTTTGACTAGCCAGAGCCATCGAGGCGCTAAGCCGCCGCTGCCCGTCGTCCTCCCCCATCGCGTAAGGCCGTCCGCCGAGCGCACCGGCGGCGCGGGAGGCTTGGACCCAAGGAAAGGGGCGCAGGACGGCGGAGGTCCGCAGGCGGCCCGTGTCAGGTGGCGGCGCCAGCTCAGCAGGGCTTCTGCTGGGTTGGGGGAAGGAGAGGCGCACGAAACGTGCGAAGGACCCGAGGGGCGGCACCGTTGCGTCCGCGTGGAGGCGCTGATGAGGGGAATCCCTCGGTTCGTGGGACCCTCGAAGCCGCACACGGGTGTAGCGGCCGTGCTTGCAGCCGCACGCACGTCTTTGTAAAGCCAGCGTTGTCCGGTGAGTGACACCTGTCACGGAACATCACCAGCAGGGCTGCTCGGACACTTGGGACCTCCAGCTTTGGGATCTTGGGACCAAGCTGATCGATCGACGACCCGCAAGAGACCAACCTTGCATGCCATGACAAACAATTAACCGTTATTATAGGGGGTATGCATGTGGCGCTGGTTCTAATACGGCGCGCGTTTTTATGCGTGAGCAGAAATTGAAGGGTGACGTGGCCCAAATGATTCGCAAGAACCAGATGCTGGAGAGAGACCTGGACTCGCTCGACGTCAAGATCGGCCTGCTGGTGAAAAATCGGATCACACTGCAGGTGAGACTCCGCTGAAGCCAGAGCCGACGGGGTTCAGGCTGCTCGGCCAGATCCGGCTGGGCTCGGCCGCTGGGCCAGAGCCGGCTGGGTTCGGGCTACTGAAGCCAGAGCCGGCTGAGTTCGGACTATCGAAGGTAGAGCCGGCTGGGTTTTGACTACTGAAGCCAGAGCCGGCTGGGCTCGGGCTGCTGGGCCAGAGCCGGCTTGGGTCGGGATATTGGATGTGTCTGTGCAGGATGTTGTGGTGTGTTTCGCCGGTCTCACGTCACTCCCGACGCTTTTTAGGAGGTGCTGATGCACAGCAAGACGATGGACGCCGTGAACAAGAGCGGCGACAAGCTGGGGACGCTCTCCCGCGGCCAGGGGCTCAAGGTGAGCCGACGCTCGGGGTCATTGGTGCCGAACGGTCACCGAGTCCGGAGGCTGGCGGCGGACAGCCTCAGCGCCGCCTCTCGTGGCGTCGTCGTGGCCAGGCTCATGATGCATTCAGTGGGGACAGGTCATGGTCTCCCGTCTCTGCCGTCAGTCTCCTGACGATCTGAGCTGTCCGCTGTGGCACGCCACAGCCGTTGAGCCCGTGCCGGTTGAGTCGTGTCTGCAGATTGCTTCACGCGGGTTTTGTCGCCAGCTGTTTGTAATGCTCATGTGCATGCAGTGTTCAAAAGGTTAGATGTCTATTTCGATCACGGCGTGTCTTTCGTCCTGGAATGTCGAGCTCTCGTATTTGTCATCTCCAAGCAGTAAACTGGACTCCTGCTCGCTAATGGCAGTTGCACTCGATCCGCAAGGGTTTTTACACGGCTGTTGTAGTAAACACCCATTCTCTGGTTGCGCGAATGGCATCACCCTAGGCCAGACTGTGGGACGAGCTGCATCTCACCGTTTGAGTGAGTGCTGGACTGTGAGACGAGCCGCATCTGACCGTATTAGTTAGCGCTAAACTGTTGGACGAACTGCATTTCACCGCATTGATGAGAGCGTCAAAACACCGCTGTTCTGTTCCCTGACGGCGCCTCTGACCCGGGCAGGCGCTGACACGCGAGAGCCGGGACCGGCTGGCGCTGTACCAGCAGCTGTTCTACCAGCTGCAGACGCGGCCGGCGTACCTGGCGCGGCTGGTGTTCGCGCTGCCGCCCGGCCAGTCGGGCCGCTTCCTCGAGTCCGTGGTGCCCAGCGTCTTCAACTACGGCACCAACGACCGCGAGGAGTACCTGTTGGTCAGCCTGTTCCGCATTGCGCTCCAGGAGGAGGTCAGGTCAGTGACGGGAGCAAGGCCGGGTCAGAACTGGGAGGTCACGGTAGTCCACGGGGGTTTAGCAGTGTTTGGTCGGTACCAGGAGGTAGGTGGACCACGTCAGTCACGGGATGAGTAGGTCAGGTTGGCACCGGGCTAGCTCGCAGGAGCTCTCGAGGTCACAATATTCCGGGGAGGCTGGGAGGGTCAGGTCAGTCACGGGAGGTAGGCGGGTCATGTCAGCACCGGAAGCTGCTGAGGTTCGGTCTGTCCAGGTCGCGTCCAATGGACAGGGCAGCCTGGGAGGTAGCCTGGGGAGCTGGTGTTGTCAGGTCAGCCGGGTAAGCTGGGGCTGTCAGGTCAGCCCGGTAAGGTGGGGCTGTTACCTAGACCTGCAGATATGGGAGATGTGTTCATGTTACCCTGGGCTGTCTAGATGTTTGGTCGCTATGGATGCCCAAGCCGATTGCCAGTTTTGAGATTCTAAGGTTTGCATAGCATGTGGTGTGTGGCTGGGCGATATTCCTCTTAAGATCGCCCTGCCGGCGTCGCTCCTGGTCGCTCTTGGTTGGCGACACGTGGATCAGACAGCGTGAATGCGATTCTCTCCTCCTCGTGCCTATCCGTGAGCGCTGGTGCTGCAAGGGTGATCGCGAACTCTCCGCGTCCCGCGGCTTTATTTTCTGGGAAGCCCCGGCTCCTTACGTCGTCCGTTCTAATGACACACGATCGTTTGGCGAGAGGGTCCACGCGGCCGAGCCTCCCCCGCCCGAGGAGTACGGGCCGGCCGCCGGCTGTGGCGCGTGTGCGCCGGTCCGACGGGCGCCGCTGGCCGCCAGGTCGCGCGTGGACCAGCTCTCGGACGTGGTGAGCGGCAACCCGATGGTGGTGCGCATGATCGTGCAGTACAGCCGACGCCACCCGCTGCGGCCCGTGCTCGGCCCGCTGGTGGAGCGCGTGCTCAGCGACCGCACGCTCCTCATCAACACCAACCCGGTCGAGATCTACCGGCACTGGGTCAACCAGCAGGAGGCGCAGAGCGGACAGCCCTGGTGAGTCCCGCGCCCAGCGGCGCTGCCAGGTGCCGGCGGTGGCACGGTCCGGCCCAGGAGAGCTGCTCACCGCTCTGTCACGAGAGCTGTGCTCCGCAGCGAGCGGTTCCTGTGCTCGTGTTTGGTGTTAACCGGCAGGGGGTGCCGTTTGACGCTTTGGATTTGCGGGTGGTGTGGGCTGTGTCCCTCCTCTTTGAGCTGCCTGTGTTAGTTGCTTTAGTTACTTTTTCAGTATCTTTTGGTGTTTTTCTTCTTTTAGTTTTAGGTACTTAATACTGTTTTTCGTCGGAGAAAAACAAGCCATCTCGGTTTGCATGCTACCTTTTCGTGTGGACATTGCCTCGTATTACAGGCGCTATATAGAGTAGGGATTCCTAAAACCAAAGTTCTGTCACACTCGTGGGTCCTGCGCTGGGTGCCGATCGGTCCAGCCCAGTGGAGGCGATCGCTGACCCCTCCCGGCTGTCCGGCAGCGGCCTGCCGTACGCGGTCAGCCAGGAGGAGGCGCTGAAGCATGGCGAGGTGGCGCGCCGCCTCAACCGCGCCATCCACTGCCTCAAGGAGGCCAGCAACATCTTCCTGGACGAGATCTTCAACGCCGTCGACGAGCTGCCCTACTGCCTGCTGTACTCGGCCAAGGTGCTGAAGCGGGCGCTGCACGAAAAGTTCCCGGACGCGCCCGAGAAGGACATCCTCAAGGTCGGTGCCGGCGTCGGAAGGCGGCGAAGGTCGCCGGTGTCGGGTCTGTTGTGTGCGCTGAGCACGACACGGCACCGGCTAGAACGACCGTGGTGAGACACGTCGGCGCTCTGCCTGCGTTTCTGGGGGCCAGCCGGTTTCCCTGCAGGTGCTGAATGCAGGTGCAGGCTCCTCGAAGCGTAAATAGGCAGGATCGGAACATGAGCGTGGCCGAAGTTGTTGGCCGTCGCGATGGCTGTGAGCAGAAGCGTCGTGCCAGACGCCCTCGCGTCACCCGCGGTATGCAATAGCAGTACGCAGGGTGTATATAAGGCTTATGAGAACCCGCACGACATAATATGGTTCACGCTCTGGGCTCGTGCCGAGCTGCAGCTGTTGGAGGGGGTCTCTCGCCTCCCGTCACCGGCGACGTCCGCCACACGCGTCCTGCACGCCACAGCCGTCACATCAGTCGCACGTCATCCGACAACGTCACATCCGTCACACGCCATATCCGTCACACGTCACATGTGCCACATGCTACATCCGTCACACGTCACATTTGTCACACTCACATACGTCACACGTCACAACAATCGCACGTCAAATTCAGCTCATTATATCCGTCACACGTCACATCAGGCACACGTCATATCCGCCATACATCACATCAGTCAAACGCCACATCTCACACGTCACATCAGGCACACGTCATATTAGTCACACGTCACATCCCTCACACGTCATAACAATCATGCGTCAAATTCAGCACATCATACTCGTCATGCGTCACATCCGTCACATGTGACAACAATTATGCATCAAATCCAGCACATATCCGCCATGCGTCACATCCGCTGCACGTGTCCCGCCTGCCACGCCCCGCTCCGCCGCCTCGCAGGTGGTCGGCAACCTGGTGTACTATCGCTTTATCAACTCGGCTATCGTGGCGCCGGACGCGTTCGACATCGTCTCGCTGCCGGCGGACCAGGCGATGACGCCCGACCAGCGCCGCAACCTGGGCAGCATCGCCAAGATCCTGCAGTTCGCCGCCAGCAAGAAGGGGGTAGGTGGCGGTGTGGTCTGCTGAAAGGCGGAACGGCGTTAGAGGGGGACTGGACGTGCGGCGCACAGGCCCTTCGAGTTTTTTTCGGAACATGTTACCGCGGAGAAAATAATATTGAAGAAGGATATCAAGGAATATGTACCTCAGCTACCATTCGCAAGGTAGTGTTGAGCGTTGTGATCCAGGAGCGGCCGTATCGCTGTGGGCGCCCTCCCCCCCCCCCCCCCCCCCCCCCCCCGCTTACGGCCTCGCGGCATCCGGCAGTTCGGCGAGGAGGCCGGCCATTTGCAAGCGCTGAACCCGTTCATCATCGCCGCCCACGAGCGCTTCAAGCTATTCCTGCAAGCCTGCTGCGCCATCGCCGAGCCGGAGCAGCATTACGGCCGCAACGAGTTCACCGAAGCCACGCTCATCGCCAAGCCAATCATCTACATCACCGCCCAGGTGAAAGAGGAACGCGCGGTCAGCGGCCTCTGGCGACGGCGATCTTCACCGTCTCTCGGGCGGGAGACGGCTGGGCGCGCTCGGGGGGAGGGAGAGGCCCACGACGGTGCTGCGCCTCCCCGTCGGTGGGGCGGGGTCCGTGTCTGGGGCGACGACGAGGTTTGGGTCACGGTGTATGAGCTGTGTGACACTGATTGACCACCGTTAATGTGAATTGGCCTGGGTCAGTCGGCCGCAAAAACTGCGAAAGACAGCAGAGAGCTTCGCCAGTTGGCTGAGCCGTGTGCGCGTTACGGAGCCTGGAAATGGGTTTGAAACCTGCGCAACCTCTCCTGTAGCTTTGGGAGTGAAACAAAGGATGTCGACGCCTCGAGCGTGTCGTGATCCATCAGCTCGGACAGGCAAAGTGGGATCATACTGCGTGAAGCCCTGCGAGCTCGCTGCCAGTACCTGACCGTGTAAACCGATCCGAGATTGCCGCAGGGGAGGCGGTAGCGCCAACGCCGGGCCCCGGGCGCGGACCTTTGTTCCGTGGTCCGTGTATCGGCACTGTGAGACGTAACGTGCGAGTGGGGCCGCGCAGGAGCTGTGCGAGACCCACCGGCTGCTGATGGAGTACGAATCGGTGGTGGCGCCATCGAAGAGTGACCCGCTGCACGAGATCCTGGAGGAGCTCGGGGACCAGCCGTCGCTGGACGGCGTGCTAGGTCAGTCAAGGTCGCAACGGCCAGGTTGGCCTGTGCCGGGGTCATTCTAATGACCAAGCACGGAATGTTCGAGCTATGGGCTGCCTCGTGTAAAGGTTCTCGTCGCTCAGGGCTCCTGGCTTTTCAACAGCCCACGCGATTATAATGCCGTTGAAAAGCGAGAATGCCTCCCGTTGTTTTGTTTTGCCTCTTCCGATGGCAAAATAACATATTTACCATTTGTTCCGGCGGAGCTGAGCTTATGGTAAACAGGAGAAACCACTCTATTTTAAAGCACCTGTGTTGTAGAGATTTGTTCAGTAATCCACCGGGTCTAATCTTCTGTCCAAGACTTGGGCGCCTTGACTTATACAACAAGCTGCAGTACGATGATGTCGCCGCATGACATGTGCCTCAGCCCGTCCCGTCGGCCATCTCCCACCTGAGCCCATGCACGGGGCGTGTTCGGCGCACCTGCTGACCGCCGCCGCGTCCGGCAGGGGAGGAGCCGGACCACCCGAGCCCGGAGCGGGCCGAGGTGTGCCTGACGCTGCAGGCGCGCGTTGATCCAGCCGACGAGGCGGCCCAGCTCACCGCCGGCAAGCTCTTCCTGCAGTGAGTGGCGCCGGCGGGTACGGCCAGCGCGTCGCCCGGCGGCGCTGATGCTGATGATGATGATTTGGGATTTTAGGGCGCGTCGGCATCAAGGTCATATTGCGCGCGTAACGGCTACCCGTGGCGGCTGCCGAGCTGGCCACTTGGGTCGGGATGTCGGCCGGTGTGGTGTGCGACGTGTGCGTGTGTATAAATATCATACAGGAGTTCCAGAGTGTGGCCACGTGCAAACTCTATGGCCTCGGGTGAACCGCAGGAGCGCGCAGAAAGGAGACTCGGCTTGTGCTGCGGTGATATGTTACACTGGCTGTGTGGCGCACCGCTGCGGCCTGCGGCACACTGACACCGTTGCGTGTCACACCGGCTGCGTGACACAGCGCTATGACGCCACTATTTGGCGTCGCCGCGCTGTGCGCTGGCCGGCCCGCGGTGGTGGTGCCGCCTCAGCGGCTGCTGCTGGCGGCAGGTGTAAGCAGCTGCTGGTGGACGTGATGCGCTGCACGGAGGACCCGGACGTGAGCGCCTGCGCGCGCGTCGAGCCGACCGCGCTCCAGGAGCGCCACTACCGCGAGCTGCTGCAGGCGCGCGGACAGGCCGAGAAACGCCGCCACGGCGATCAGCGACTCCACAGGAACAACTCGTTCCTGGCGCAGCCCTGGTGAGCGCCGCGCCGCGCCGGCGGGGCGAGTCGGAGTGCGGCGCTTCTGGGTGTCAGCGAGGACGCTTGTTTCTTGTCGATTTGTGGTGCGTGATGATCCATGCTTCAGGATTGCACTTCTGTCTGATACTTTTTGTGCTGGGATGTGGGGGAGGGGAGGGGGTACCATCATCAGCTGTATACGTTGCTGGGATGACGTCATCGTTTTCCATCCTGTCCGCAACGGGCCTAGCGCTCTGCCGTCTCCTGCGGTCCTGCCCCGGCCGTGTACCGGTGCTCGGCGCGCCCGCCCCGGGCGGTCCGGGCGTCGGCCGGCGGCGGGCCCGCGTGACGCCGTGCCGTCCCGCCGCAGCGCCACGCTGGAGGAGGCCAAGGACGCGCTGCTGGAGCGGCTGCGGCTGCTGGAGCGCGCGGGCGTGGTGCACCGCGACGACGGCTACCGGGCGCTGCTCGACGCCGTGGCCGCCGACATCGTCCACCAGAGGCGCCACCGGCAGCAGCGGCGCCAGGTCAGGGGCCACCGTCGGCCGCTGGCTCGGTGGTCAGCGGCGGACCTGGCCGTCACCAACTGATCACGAGCGCGCTCAAATAATCGCGCTCAAACGTCGGCTGATGCGCTCGAGTCGCTGGAGTCCTGCGCTCAGGTTCTCGTGTTCGTAGGTGCTGCCCGCTTGTGACTGGCTTCAGTCTGACGGTAACAGGCCCTGCTGGCTCCGCGGTCGTGTCCTAGAGGTGTGATCAGTTTCGGCACGGCCGTGTTAACATAGCACGTTGCCCGCAAGATGGCTATCATTTCAAGTGTACAAATGACCCCAGCCGGGTCGGCGAGCGCTGAAGGCGGTGGCGTCACGCGGCGCCCTGGCTAGCGCGCGGCGGCCAGCGGGGCCGGCCGGACCGGCGGCCGTACTGACACCGCCGCCGCGCCCCGCAGGAGTTGGTGAAGCTGCGGCGCACCATCTCGTCGCTGGACAAGAAGCGCACCTTCTACCAGGAGCAGGCCTCGTACTATACCCAGTATCTGGCCACGTGCCTGCAAGGCATGGCGACGGGGCGGCGGCGCGCCGGCCGCCACAAGGCCAAGGCGGCGGCGCCGCTGCGCTACACGGCCGCCCGGCTCAAGGAGAAGGGCGTGCTGCTCAACATCGACGGCATGCAGCCGGCTGAGGTGGGTACTCCGCACAGCCGAGTTGTTGAGGGGCTGAAGCCCAAGTTGGAGGGTGGGGCTGAAGCCCAAGTTGCGGGGGCCGACGTTCCCCCCCCCCTCCCCTCCCACTGAATAAGAAACTGCACCCCTGCCCCTTCCCCCGCCAATACTGATTTTATTGTTTATTGGTGTTTTAGGATGCGTCGACTACAATGGTCATTTCGCGCCCCTGAACACTGACATCATGTTTTTTTAATGAGGATGCAGTTGTGACCCATGCAAGAAGCTTTTCAACTTAAGCTTATCCAGGACAGCGGTGACGATTCTGCACTGTGCTGCGAGCCGCAGGTCACTGCGCCGTGACGGTGCGACAGTGATGCTGCGCCGCAGCGGCGGTTCCCCGCGGTCGCCTGTACCGCGCCGCCACAGGGTCCATGTTGAAGACAGCACAGCAGACAGGACTGTTGGCCCGGTAGGGTCGGACCACTGTCAGAGAGGAGTCGTGCCACGGGAATCGGAAGAAAGTGCAACTTGCTGCGTGCGAGCTGCAAAGCGACTTTTCAGCTGTGGCATTTACACATGTGGTGTTTGAGATGGGACAAATTCTTGCCTTGATGTGCTTTCGACCCAAACATATATAAGACACCATAAATTAATCCGAATGCAACTTAGCAGAGCATGCAACAATTCTGATATCCGAATAGGACGTTTTTAGTATGTGAGCATTTAAACTAAAAAAAGGGGCGGCACCGCTCACTGGTGTGGCCCCGTATATCATGTTAGCCCGCGGCCATCGGTCGGACGGGGCAGCGGGCGGCACCGCGCTTCCCAGTTAGGGAATCCCGTGACCTCTAATGGGAGTGTTAATTCCACGCGGCCTTGGTCACGTCAACCGCCGGCCTTTCCATGACGGTCACGAACTCCCCGCCGGCGCCTGCCGTCGGTCAATAGAGCATCGCTCCCGGTCCGTGCCTCAGAACTCCACCGGACAATTGCCGCCTCGCTGCGGTCAATAGTGTGTACATAGCAACGCGTGCAGTGCTGGACCACGTGCTGGATGCCGGGTTCGGTGTTGTGGACCGCAGCCACGAACCGAGCCGATGATCTCGCCTGTGGGCGTAACGCCGGGCCTGCCGTTGCTGTACGGCGTGATCGGGGCCGATCGCACGCCGCCCAGCCTGGAGCTGGCGGTGTGCCGCCACGTCGGCGTCGTTGTGTCGCCGTGTCACCTGTCTCCCCGGGTGGCCGGCCGGTAAGCGGCGGTGTGGGGCTCGCCAAGAGCAGTCCGTCCGCCGTCGGCCGTTGACGGCGCGCGCCTCCGCTCCCCAGCTGAAGGGCGTGCAGTTCGAGATCTCGCCGCTGGCGGCCGAGGGCCTGTTCCAGGTGAACGCCAAGCTGCTGGGCGTGCAGCTGGAGCGGGTGGAGATTAGCCTGCAGGTACCGTCCCCACCTGCCGCCGACGTCACTGGTCTAACGGCCGCACTTAGCACCTGCCGCGTTCATACATAGCCGCACACGTGCTGTACTCCGGCCAGTGATGCATTTTGTGCGGTCGCTGACGTCATACGACACCGTCAATCAACCCTCCTCATAGCAGACGGCCGTGGCCAGTGCCGTCTGTACCCCATAAATGTTCGAGTGCCCCATGAATATACGATGTGTTGCACCTGCGCTATGACTGTATTACTCCTTGGAATTCAGGGTATCTGGCACCTGTTGAATGCGTAGTTTATATGCTGGAACGTGCCGCATTATTCACCTGTTGAATGCGTGATTTGCTCGTATGTGAGCGGTGGGGCTCCGCGGCCAGACTGTTTATCATTGCTGTTCAGTACGAAGCAATGACCGTAGTCGACTGAATCTTTTCACATGTGCACACTGCAGTGCTAGTTACAGAAAAAATACACTCAAGAAAATCGACGATGCAAAATCGCCTCGTTTCAGCTGGCCCGCGTATGTCATTACGCCCTAGAGTCCTTGGTTGCTGATGACTTATGGGTGTCCCTAACGAGCAGCTCGAAAGCCCCGTGTTGAAGCGCGCGCGGTGCCACCCCTTCCCGCGCCCCCAGGAGCTGCTGCATCTGCAGTACGACGGCGTCTCCGTCATGGACATGTTCGGGAGGGTTCGGATCAACGTCAACCTGCTTATCTTCCTCCTGAACAGCAAGTTCTACAGCAAGGGCAAGAAGTGAACTGGCCCCGGTGCGCTGGGTCGGCCGAGCGGTCCCGACGGCTGTCGGCGCCCGGTGCAACGCCTGAGGCGGTGTCGGGAACGGAGCGGCGCGGCGCCGGACGCCGACACGTTCGTCTCGGCGTCTCGCGGCTCGTGGTGTGCTTAGCAGCTGCTTCGTTCGCGCTTTGTTGGTGCTGACAGAACATTTTACGTAGAGGCTGTATCGTGTGCGCGCTGGTGTGCTTTCCTGCAATGCTTTAGCTAGTTTCTTCCAGCTCTGTTTCTTTTTTATAGTTTACAGTCCGGTAATGCAATAACTGATTCAGGGGGCATCGCCCCTCGTTTTACAGCTGGTCGAGAACGGCGGGACCCAGCTAATTAGGCGCTTCCTACGTGGCAATCGATGCACATGCGTGGCGCAAACGTTTGTGCCATCGTGGCACTCGTTCACTTCGCCTGGACCTTCATGTGGCCGTACCGTAATTAAGTTTTGTAATTAACTGCCTGTAATTGGGCATAGTAACGTAATCCTTGGCACGGTCCAGGCCGAGGACGTAGCCTGCGCTAACAATCAGACAATCAGTTAGCTGTGATCGTCGAGGGACCACGTTTGCGTAGTGCCTGTTTGGTCAGCGGCCGCAGGGAACGCGCGCCGCTGCACATTTTACCGGTGACGCGGTGGGGCGGGGCACGGGGCGCGCTGCAGACCCGGCGGGCTGTTGAGGCCGTGTGGTGTCCGGCCGGGTGCTCCGCGACCGCGCGCGTGCCAGCGCGCAACACACTGGGCTCCTTGTGCGTCGCCCTCTGGATTAATGGTGTGAATACATGCGGACCGCAGCCGTATTTCGGGACTTTTCATCGGGCGATAAAACCAGACTGCCCCCGAATATACAGCGGGCCGTTACTCGTTTCGCCTATAGTTAGTTTTGAGGCAATTGCGTAATCTCAAACGTGTTATGGGTCCATTCGGACCACTTAATGACACTTGAGTGAGCATTCCGACGTATTGATAAGCGTAATCTGTATTTAACAAGACAAAAATGAACGGTCAGGCGGGGTTACATCAAAATGAAAGGTGCAATGACGTCGACGAGTTCACACCTCGTCCTCGTTCAGCAGCATGTTGGGAATGCCATCGGTGACTGGGAACCTCCGGCCCGTCTCTGGGCATACCAGCTCCCCGCTCATCACCTCCACCTGGCGACGGAAGGGCGCTCGCGTCAGTTATCGGCGCCGGCCGCGCGTCGCCGGGCGTCCGAGGCGCGCCGCTCGCGGCGACGGCGACGGAGACACGGGCGTTGTGGGACTGCTACCCGCGTGCAGGGACATCTCAGGGTTCTGTAACGTGGCTGTATCAGTGCAGCAACTCACCGTGAAACGCTCCCTGAGACACGCTTCAGTTGAAGGTCTCGAAGGCAACTTTGCTGATTTTGGTTATAGCTGGTAACAATAGGAGTGTATATGCAGGATGGCACTTTGAAACTGAACCTGGTTTGCTGGATCTCCTCGTACATTCTTTCCAACAGATCCACCGCGCTGCGGTTTTCCGCATTTCACAGTATTACAGGATAATAGTTTTACTTTATTTCCTTTTTCCAAAACATAGCAAATTTTGATTTGGTGACGCAAATGTCTACCTGCCGCGTTCAGCCGCGCATTTCTGGGAGCAGGCACGAGAGCAGCGCGCCTATCGCGCTGGCTTGTTTGTGATCGATGAACATCTTGTGTATAACTGATTATAATTGGTTCATAATTGAATGTATCATTGACGACGGTTTCGAGCCTTCCCACCAACTGTTTTTCAATTCCCGCCACAGTCGGCGTGACACCTTGTGACGTCACTGGCAACAATTGCTGCAAACTCGTGGACAAACATAAGATCATTACTGCTACGGCTAAAAAACCACGGCATTGTTTAGACTCCTTCAAAAATGGGGTTGAGGGGAAACGACCCGATTCCTGACAGTCTCTAGTCTTCGCCGAGGCAAATGTGATTTATCATTTAGTGATATTTGAATTATGTCTCAAACCGTTATATCAATGCAAACTTTATAGCGGGAACCACTGGGACTTACTTCCAGAAGAACATGATGAGCCATCTTCAGAAACTCTTCATTCGTCTCATAATCTTGGTCCAACGTGGCAGGCAGGTCCCCTTTGTGTCCAACCTGAAAGGAATGTATATAATGGTGCGCCAGTTTCATTACGATGGATGCGCTTGGAGCAACAATATACTCGCTGTCTTGACCTATTGGATGTCTCGTCACAACAAGCCCTTCAGAAACTCCTACTGATAGCTGATAGAGTGATTGGCATCCCATTGGTGATTGGCAAGGAAGGTCAAAAGCCAAGGCTTCTACAGAGACCATTTTCACGTGAAACGGTTTCTATGCACCATACAATTGCCCAACGCCCAAAACCGACACAACCAAATCTCACACACGACTTGACCACCACCGAAAAACTTCGGCGCTACATCACAGCCTCGGCCCAATGCCTTGACTAACAATACTGATATGCATTTAAGCCACAGGAAGCGCTTTAAAAACGAACAAAAACAATGTTGTCAACAACGCTGGGTAGGACCTGTGATGTGCGCAGCAGCGGTGCTGCGTCGTCGCGGAGTTTCTCATGCTCCATGCCGTGCGACGATGTGACTGGATTGTTAAGTGTAACTGAGTTGAAAGATGGTCCATTTGCCGGCCGCGGGCTGGGCCCATGGCCGGGCCCCATAGCTAGCAGTCTGCCGGCCGCGGGCTGGGCCCACGACCGGGCCCCATAGCTAGCAGTCTGCTTGCTGGCCGCAGACTAGGCCCACCGCCGGGCCCATAGCCAGCAGTCTGCTTGCCAGTCTCAGTGATCAGCGCGAGTGGTCGCAATGCTTAGTGGTCTGAGACGTGCAACGCGCCGCTAAAAACCATCAAAATATTACGAAGGTGTGTCGCGTGGACATTTGAGAGACAGGATCACCCTCACGTGGGAGCTTTGGCAGTAACGCCTTTGACGGATAGCCGTAACACCATTCCATTGACCATGGCAGCCGTTTCATATGAGTAGTTTTTGACGTGAAGGTGTTGCCACCTACACGTTTCTGTTACAAAAGTTACGCCAGTCGAAATAACGCCTCGTGCAAGCTTCCCCAATGCAGTTTCCACGCACTGCAGTACTGTCGCGAAGAGGTTTTGTCCGCAAAATTGCGCCATGCATGAGTTATGCGCAAACATGTTATTGCTTAAAGGCTTAGAAGGTCAAGATGGTGCGTAATATGGAATCGTATTACCAATCGTATTTACCAATACGTATTAATTACCAATCGTATTAATCGTATAATTAATCGTAATTACGACCAATCGTAAAATGGTCGTCAGTGGAAGTACTATAAAAATGGAGCTCTGCCTGCACAGATCACGGTGCGGCGATGGCACCCCTACATCACCATTTTCCATACTCCATGTCTTCCCACTATAAGTTTAAAAAGTTATCTGTGGCTGAGAGATGGAAACAGCATTTGCCACAGGGGTGCAGCAAGGAAGTTGTCTGAATCACACAGAAAAAACTGCCCACCCACCACATGGCAGTTAGCTGGCAATTGCATGGAGTACCTGCCAGGTAGAAGGCAAGTGGCATTGAATGTAATCTGGTGAAGTGACATCATCCTAAAAATGTGATTGGTGCAAAACATGTTCCCTGTAAAAACCAAACAATCTGTAAACTCAAAATTGTCACAAACCTTTAGTTCTGGAAATCTTTAAGGCATAATTTATGTTATCCTACCTCTTCAGCTGTTTTGCATAGCACATCCCAGTCCACCTTTGGAATGATTCTTGCTATGAATTCTGGATTGAAGTCCACTTCTTGCACCTTCACATCTTCTGGCTGAAAGAGGCAATAGGTACTTCAAATTTTGCAGTCAAACATAAGGCAAAATTAGCAAATAAATTGCTATTAATGGGTCACGATGCATCCATATGATAGATTCAGAGCATGCAGGTATGAGAACCAAGACTGACAATAATCTGGCTTGTTATTTATAGGGGAGTTCCTGATGCCTGTAAGCACAACTTTCATTGACCTGTGGTAGTACATCCTGCCTGTGCCTATGTGCTGGTCCTGTGTGGCATAGTTCCAGTATTTGAGACTGCAAGGTGAGCAAAGCCATGACTTTTAATTTGGTTTCACCAAGACTAAAGCTTGCCAGCACCACACCCCTTGCAATCTGTCTTTTCTTGGGGGACAGACAGTGCTCAAAGTTTGGACTTGCTCTCACTGGATTTAAGAAGCTGACCAAACAGAGCTTGCTGTATTTGTTATGAAACAAGACTGTACTTAATAGCCTTATTCCTCATAAAATAATCAGGAGAATGGAGATGTAGATGGATTGATATTTTGGTTACATGCCTTTTTTGAAACAAATATCAGAAGTAACTTGGTATTTACAACTAACTTAACATTTACTACTGAATTTTGCTTCGATAAAGGCATGTACCTGACATATCAATCTATCTCTCCATTCTCCCCATCATTATACAAGGAATATGGCTCTTCAGTGTGCTATCTTTAGGCATAATGTTCCACACAAATGCACTTTGCAAGTCAAGAGACAGACTGGTCAATATTATGGAGTACACAAAGATTAGCTTAATACACTGCTATGCAATGCAACCTTTCCACTTGACCCCAGTAGATGTGGGCTGGGTCACTGAGCAGAGTCTAGTCTGTCCTTTGCATGCAGCAGGACTGCCCTGATCCAGGTCAGCTACCATGCTGCACAGGCATTGGTCAGATCATTGTAGTGTTGTCACCCTGTGCATCCTTACAGCCTCTGGTATATCAAGCTGTGAGGCTACAGGGCAGTTTAGGGGGAAATCTCCACTTGCTATTCTATTCCAGTCTGACTAAAAATGAATATAATATGAAAAGGACATGTAGGAAAGTAAATAATAACAGCCTGCTGCTGGACTTCACCACAAGCCTGCTATCCTTTCCAACTGACATGTGTCATTCAGAGCACTGCAGCATGAAAGGGCATCATTAAATGTTTATTAACCCTAA